ATAACATGATAGTGTAAAATTATTTTCCACTGTAACTCATGTTGAATTTGTGTTGAGTTGCTAGGAGAAGAAATATGTTTTAGAAACACTTTAACTTAACTGGGAAACCGCTTTTTTTATTGTGCAGATTCCAATATAGAAGTTACTGCAAATAAATTGCCAGGAAATTCATTGCTAAATTCTAGTCAAGGTGATGAGACTTCAAATTCATGCCTGCCAAAGGAAACTTCGGAAGCTGCTCGTGCAAAAAGGCAGCAATTTTCTAAAATAGATGGCGGAAATTCTAGTTCGGTTCATCCAGTTAAAGGATGTGAAGATGAGAATATCGATTATGATAGTACATCCAGCTTCGAGTTTCATAAAGGGGAGAGATCAATGCACCACCATTCCATGACAACAAGGTCGTTTTCACGGCCCATGTCTTCCAAGTGGAATGATGCAGAGAAGTGGATAATGAATAGGCAAAATGTGCAAGCTAATTATTCGAAAAAGGTTCATTTACAGAACCAAGCACACCGGGGGCCTGCCGCAAGCATGGTTAGAGTAGCTCCGGAATCTAGTGGTTATGAAAGTAAGTTAGCAGTTAAGAAGGTTGATTTTTGTCAACCTGCAAATCAGATAGTGCCCGAGAAGTTTGCTTTTGATCAACCTGGTTCTCATAGTCAAGGAAATGGTGCGAATGCCGTGTCACTTGATCTTTGCCCTGAAAGTAAGGATTTGACAGAGGTGGTCAATAGGGATTCTTCTTGTACAAAGAGTTTAACAGAAGATAGAACAGGTACATTATGGCTTCTTTTGTTCCTAAATGTTGATTTTAGATTCCTTAACTTAATGTTAATATTCTAAAAAAGTTTTATACCATCACCAGGAGAGGAGGGGAGAGGAAAAGCAGTAGGAGAGAGGGTGAGTTGTTGGGGTTTTCGGATGAACTATTGTCTGTCCTACTAACATTAACGGTTGGAGTGTAATGGACATTGTGTGCCTCAAGTAGAATTTTGATGCATTCTTAGAGGCATGCAGAATTGTCAGATCATTTTCTGTAGGCATCTAGCGACAAGCTTATGCGATGCAAGGTGTATTTTAGATCGATTTGTAGGATTTTCAGATGGAGCACTGCCAATCCTACGAACTCAGGTGGTTGCAAGGAATGACGGCTATCATAGTGCCTCAAGTAGAATTGATACATTAGGAAAAGATTGTTGCCTGGTATGTGCCAAAGGACACACGTGTATTTGTCGTTCCATTCACGCTAAGACGGTTTGACCAGTTGTCGACCTTTAACCAATACAATGACCAGCTTTTTCTTGGGCAGTCTGTTGGTATGATTACTTAAGTGACTACGCTTCTGTTTAATGATACATAAAAACTTGTTAAAGATCTGCTAAAAATCAACAAAGGTTATGGGTGGGATAGAGCTTAAAATTATGCCATTTGAACTGTGATGAAGTTCCTATAGACCAGGGGTTAGGATTTCAACGTTCTGGGTTCTAGATTTTAGAAAGACGACTTCAAGTGCTAACAACTGGGTTCTGTATTTATTACTTGTTGACATTTAATGAATTTCTTTTAGTACAAATACCATGTTTGAGCAAAAGCTATTGGATTCGGTTGAGCCCGTATTTGGGCTTCTTGCTCTGCCCCTGCTAAAGACTACATTCAGATTGAATAGTTGACTAAGTTGATGATTTCCCTCTTATATAGGTCATTGATTTAATACCGTGCTGATTTAAACTGTTTGATTGAACGTTAATGCAGTTCTCCCCGCAATAAGATCAGTCTCGATGAGAGACATGGGAACAGAAATGACTCCTATTCCAAGTCAGGAGCCTTCAAGAACAGCTACACCTGTTGACGCAACGACCCCAATCCGCAGCCCTACTTCTTCAATCCCATCTACACCTCGTAGAGGAGAGCCAGCGCCAACGCCAACGCCTACAGAGAATTGCATCGGCAATGCTTCTCAAAATTCAACAGAAAACAATAAAAAAGAATTGTCGGAGGAAGAATTAAAGATGAAGACAAGAAAAGAGATTGTAGCCCTTGGTGTCCAACTCGGTAAAATGAATATAGCTGCTTGGGCGAGCAAGGATGAGAAGGATAAGAGCGAGGCTGAAGCAGCTGAGGTTGCACGGATGGAATATGCTAAAAGGGCAGCTGCTTGGGAGGAAGCTGAAAAGTCAAAGCACTCTGCAAGGTTTGCGCCAATATCAAACACATTTTTAAATCTATGTTCTACTGTTAAATTATAAATTAACAGAAAGATCGTTGATATTCCAGTTATAAGCGTGAAGAGATAAAAATCCAAGCTTGGGAAAGCCAGCAGAAAGCAAAGCTAGAAGCAGAGATGAGGAAAATAGAGGTGCATCTTATTATCCATTTAGTAAATTATGTTATACCATGATTAAGTAGCCTTGTTCTTGAAATTTCTTGAACGTGTTTAAATGATCTGAACTTGATTATGGATGGTTGGTTGTATATTGAACTTTGCTACTGAGACACCTAGGAATTTAACCAACCCGAGTTATGTGCTCATACTGAGGCCATTTAACATCATATTGAACTGTTACCACTTGAGGTAATGATTCAGGAGTCAACTTATTACAAAATTCATATGTTATTTTGCATCATTGTATGTATTATTCAGGCACAAGTCGAACAAATGAGAGCACAAGCTCAAGCAAAGATGGTGAAGAAGATCGCAATGGCAAGACAAAGATCAGAAGAAAAGCGAGCTGCAGCTGAAGCTAGAAGAAATCAGCAAGCTGAAAAAACTACAGAGCAAGTTGAATACATACGTCAAACAGGTCGACTTCCATCTTCTTCCTTCTCGTGTTGTGGCTGGTTATGATAAGATTAAGCAGCAGCAGGTGCAGCGCAGATCATAATCGAGTTCACAAGGCACCTTACAAGTTAGGCTCTCTTATACTGTCAGGTTTTGTAATAACAGAAAGTATAGTATCATGCCGAACGTTGTCCACCCTTGTATCTATTCTTTTTGCAATCTGCAAATGTAAGTTTTTACATGGAATGAAGTTTGGTTTGGTCATTGATTTTTAGCTTCAAACATGTATTAAAAACTGCTGTTAGTTTATAGCAGGAATTTTCAAGAAAAAAGAAAGCAAAGCAATTGTCATAAGCTTGTCTTGCTTTGAAAATATGGACTATAGCAGAATAAGGGCCTTTTCTGAAATAGTATTATGAAACAAGTGAAAGAAGATAGTTGTATCTTTTTTGGAGAGAGTTTCGGCTATTAAAAAATTGCTGTTAGTTTTGTTGCATATATTTTTTTAATGGAAAAAACACAAGTTGTCTAATGCTTTTCCACAACTAGTCTGTGTATAATGCGTCAATCAATAAAAATAGTGATTGACCTTAAAATAACATTTGTCTAAATGATGAAAATAAATATTGTTACATTAATGCAGCAGCTAAATTCAATATCTTTTGAAATTGCTGATGAATTTAGTTAAAATAGGTGTATAGAGATAATGGCATATAATTAATAGATAACTTTAAGCTTTATTCTAATTTATGAAGAAATTGTTTCCATCTTTCCTAGAGAATGAAAATTAAAACCATATCTTGAATTTGTCAAAATTTAAAAATAAATATGTAAACTTATTCGATATATTCCAACAATAAAATGTTATTTTAATTGTTGAATCCCAAATCTAATCTACTTTTTCCTTTTTTATCCAACGATAATATTGTTGCATCAATTGTCGAATTTGATTCTTATACGTTTTTTTATTCGCGGCAATATTACATTACTACTGAAAGCTAACCTTAAAGTGAAATTTTTAAGTTAAAAGTGGTCGAAAGTTTCACCTAAAAGATTATGAATACTTGATTGGTTAAAATTTAATAACAAACAAAAAAAAGCTCCTAAAACCTAAAGGAAGTTCAAAGTGCTCAATGGTTCCTCACGTGATTTGCTATGTTACTACTTTCAATTTATAAATTTGGTATATTACATACTTCTAACTAGGAAAAATATAATAATTCACATTTTAGTTAATTTTAAAGTCCTAATACTAAAAAATAATGAAATGACTATTGTGTTCAATGTGAACTCTATTTTTAAAGGATAAAAAAAGCGAATGACATTTCACCAAAATTCTTTCTAAAATGAAATAGAATCTTTCATTTTCATTGTATAAGGTTAAAAATTGTAGGTAGCTCAAAGTGACAAATAGATAGTAGACATAAAAAATCCTAAATATTAGTTAATTAAATTGTTAATTAGTTTTATGATTTATATAGTGATTATTATTACTATTTTATATTGAACATGTTTGAAGCTTTTGTTTAAGTAGTCTTCGAAGTTTATATGCCTTTAGTCCTTTATTTAGCACCGTATACAAAAATATTCCTTTTTGCAATTCAAACTTCAAGGTGATAAATATTAGGTAACATAACTTAGAATCAATGTTTTAAAAGGCGGGGGCGTGAGGCGAGGCGTTTTACCGCTGATGAGGCGAGATGTAACCCCTGAGACATGGGGCGTAAGTCCCATGGATCTTCAAATTTTACTAATTTCAAGACTTTTAAGATAGTATAAAATAAAAAATAGTTATAAAAATTACATTAAAATCACAAAATTACTTATAAATTATAATTCGATTATGAATAATACGAAAAGTATGACATATACCATAATATGAAAGTTATCTGCAACGTCGTTACAACTTAAACATCAAAAGTAATGTATTCGATACGAAATCTTACATGCATCTCTTAATGAGATTTCGATATTATAATTTTGATTTTTTTTAAATACTCCTTTTATTTAATATACTTTTAATTTGAATGAGAATTTATACAAAAATATAATTCACAATTTAAATATAATTCTCTAGCATCATTTATTTAGAAGATATGGATTATGTAATAGTGCTGAATAACGGAAACATATGCTGAATATATTTTTAGTTTCAGAAAGATAAAATAATTTTCTTTATAGATATATTCCGCGCAAATCCGGATTAGTAATGCTAGTGAAATCTGAAAGCAAAAAGACAAAGAATCATAAGATATTCTCTCCACCTTTTCAATTTTCATGTGGTAGTGTTTGCTGTAGACACTTCACAGCAAAACATTACCAATTAATGCTATTTTTTAAGTTTTCCACTCAATACAATATAACTATATAATACAACCAATCAAACTCTACCGGCTACAGATAGAATAGCTGTGTGACTGTGAAAATTCTGCATCGTGGTTCCAGCCATATAGAAGGGTTTGTAATATATGCATAGAGTCCATTGCCGAATCAGGAACTAAGCTGTGGCTCCCAACTGAATGACAAAAAATGCATCCTCTGCGTTGATATTAGATAATGTGAATTCTTTTTTCCTGACAGATCAAGAGAGTTCATCCAATTTTAGATAAAAAGAAGAAGAGAAGATACGTTTAACAAACTTTTGGCTTTCTGGAATCAGTAAACAACAGTTTTCCAGATTGCTCATGTAAAAAAGGCAAGAGAAAAGTTTTCAAGAACGAATAGAATAGAGCACAAGCATATCTTACATTACATGCTAACGAGCTTTCTTCATACGTTTTGGGGGCCTCATCGTTTCTCTCCTTGAATCTTCTGCAGGTTTGGCGTTAATCAATGACTGAAAGCATTTGGAAGGAAAAAGAAAGGTTATTATGATAATGAATATATCAAAAGCAAGAAGCAAGGAAATATTCTCTTGAGCTTTTCCCCACGCAAATGACATTTGGTAATTTACAAAACAAGCAAGCATTGTACTAGAAACTGGAACTAAGGAGTTAGAAAAGTATTGCAAAAGAGGATTCCTTTCCAATTTTTACAGGACCTAAGAGTCTAGAGAACAATTGGGATAGAAGAGTAGCTATCAAGGTAAGAACAAATAAGGCCTAAAAAAGACAAGACTTTAATTAGGAGTTGAGGTGTTTTATTATACTGTTTGAGTTGTTAAGAGCATTAGAGCTGGTTTGTATTACCAGAAAAAGAATCTATAACCTCGGTGACCTGCGTGTTCATTTAAATTGGAACATTCTCATTTTCTTTGACAGAATAAAATTCTTGCATCTTCTTCTCATAAGCTTCTTATCTAGCCTCTTCAGTTTTGCTCCTCTTTCAATTATAGTTCACCTATTATCAGATGGTTAAAAACATCATCTGCTCATCAACACATATAAAAGTACAAGATCCTTCTCTTATAATTTCCAACCACGATTCCCTAAGTCCTCTCTTTTCTCTGATGATGGTATATACTTCTCGGCAATGTATGTATACCATTTTTTGTTTTCGACAATGTATTTACAAATAAGAGCTAGAAAATCTTTAAATCAAGATCACAGGAAAAAAGGCGGAGCCAGGAACACCATTATACGTCTACAGGTAGGGAAAAAAGGCGGAGCCAGGAACACCATTCAAGCAAATAAGACCATCTAGCGAAAAGTAGAATTGCAAGTCAAACATCATAATAGACTGATAATCAAAACACAGGAATTATGGACCAGGACAACAAGATATACAAGAGTTTGCACATGAAAACAACTCACACCCATCTTGCTAAAATATAAAAATAAAACTGTAAAGATCCTCTAGTTCGAGAAAGACAAGAAAATTTACAAGCATAACGTCACTGTTAAGACCATGTTATACTGATGCTAAATATTAATCTCATGAATATTATACTCAGTCTAAATAATAGGTTTCAATTATTCCATGAAAGTTGGGATTTCACAAGCCACGAGAAAGCAGGGGCCTCCATCAAAGTGAAATGAACAAAGTTGCAGGACTATATTTCTAACCTCTTCCACTTTTTTTTGAAGTTCCAAAAGTTCTTGACAATATGCAAGGCACTCTGCATGGTATATAGCAGCTAAGTCTTTTATCATGGCCTTCCTTCTGATGATACCAATCACTGTAATATCCAAGAAGAAACAGCACATGTAAGATTAAACAAATCTAACTCTCCTTTATGCCAAATCTAACACAATTTTTTCTTTTGGGCACAAACATTTCGATCAACAAATACGCAGTCACTGACTTCCTTGAAGGTGATATTATTTGTTTGTCATATATCATTGGAAGATAAGTGTTCAAGAGACAAACTGATAACTAGTTATCTATTACAGTTAACCACCATCTTATCTCATTGGAAGATAATTGTTCAAGAGACTAAAACTGACAATTAGTTTAATCTATTGCAACAGATCACCACTGCAAGTTGGCCAAAGAGACACAATAAATGGGCAGCGGAAAGAAAGAAAATGAGAAGTCAACCAATATGAAGATGAAAAGTTCTGTTTTCACATAAATTATAATCAGATACCAAGAAGGTAAAAGTTTACAATACAACCTTTTTAAGATTGATTTTTATTTTTAGTTTTAGGATTATAACTAGATAATTCTTTTCTTTGACAGGTAGGATTGTATCTAGAATTCTGTGGCCCTTTAACTGCGACTCTTCCCGCCATGAGCAAGAAGTGACATATTATTGCAATGTTCATTCTTTGATTATTATCTCAACCCACCTCCAACCCTCCCAAGAAAAGGAGAAATAGAAAATAAAACAAACAAATCTTTAGTTTATTATTAATGAACATTGTTTCTGGCCTTTAGGGTTCAAGTAAATCTGTTGAAGAATTCCTTAGGTGAACAAAGTGCAAGTAATAAATATTGAAGTATTGGCTTGAAACCCCTAAAGTGTCTCAGCTACAAAAGAGAAACAAAAGAAACTAATAGGAAAAAAACAGCCAAAAAAGATACAATAACAACTACACATCAATCACAAACAAGTTGAGGTCGGCTATGTGAATCCTCACTGGCCATGTTGCTTCATTTAAGCCCATGCATGTTGGTCCAAATATCATAAAAGATTAGGTTTTCTAACACTAGAGGTTGTCTACATTTCCTACTGGCATATAAAAAGATAAAACAACTAATAACATTATAAAATTACAACATTACTGTAGTTAAAAAACAATAATGCAAAATTTGGCAAACACAATGATGTAATACATCCAAGACCATACAATTACATCCCTCTTCTCCGTCGCCGATTCAGAGGAAAACCAAATCCCAGTACACCAATTAGGTAGTTTTCAAACTGAAGCTAAAAATTCTAATCCCAACGTTAACAAACAGGACATTCTAATCACTAGTTCTTAAATAACAGGAAATTATGTAAGGTACTTCCCAAAGATATTACTATGAACAATTAGCAAGACTCAATGCGTAATTTTGACAAACGTGAGGATGTAAACAGATATATGAAATTTCACCAATTACACCCCTTTCCTCACCATCACCATATCAGATTACTTCCAAACTAAATCTGAAAATTTTCATCCATAGTGTCAGCAAATATTAAATCCTAAACATTATATCAAAAATAATGGGCAGAAATATAATTCCTTTATATCAGTCATTTTGGGAAACAACCTCTCTACTTCATCGGGGTAGGGGTAAGGTTTGCATACACACTACCCTCCCCAGACCCCTTACCCGTGGAATTTCACTGGGTTGTTGTTGTTATATTAGTCGTTTTACTCGAACCAGGGCGGAGAGTGATGGAGCTAGGAATTTATTCAAGGGAATTCAAAACTATTAAGAACGTCACGTGGGATATCAACCTATGACCTAAAGCAATTTCTGAACCCCTTTTGCCACTTCACTAGAATTTTCTTTAAGTCTAGGGGATTCAACCGTTTAAATATAACAAAAAGATAGGGTTTTGCCCTATTTGCATAGTGTAGTTTTCCGACAAAAGGGATTTAATTGAACCCTCTTTCTTCAACTTAGCTCCACTATCCACAACTGTCTGGCAAAAGATTGAGCGCCCATCGCCAGAAAATTATACAGTGTGTATAGGTCAAACATTACTTTTTATACACATATATTAAATCTTGAACATCTTCCTGGATCTTAAAACCCGTTCATTCCAATACGAAGTAATTTGTAGCAAATTTCACATAAGTTTCTATTAAGACTAAAAGATCAAAGAAAAAGGGGGGG